AAAGAGAAGAAAACATTCAGATTTCAGAAAAGACTCTTTATATGGAGGTGGCTTTATTGGAAATTTGCATCTTTCAGAAACTTCTAGTGACTCCTCAGTAGAGGAATCAGAAAAAAGGGATTTAGGGAAGAGCAAAAAGAGGAAAAACATCTCTGCAACAGAGACAGCAGACCATAAAGAGAAAAGGGGGTGCAGTAGCTCAAGTGATGAGGAAGAGAACTTGGGAAATGTAGTCATGGTGACTGCCAAACCTGTATTTGAAGGCAGAAAAAGGAAATCACGGAGCAAGAGAGCAGTAAGAAAGAAGAAGTCTTAAAGAAAAAAAAGTATTAAAAAAAGAGAGGCTCTATGTCGATTTAGTTACTTAATCTTTGTAAATATGCTAATGAATTTTTGATAAAATATAATAAATTATCTCTATTTGTCATGCATTTTGTGTCCAGAACTTAAATACAAAGAATTCTAAACACTGAGAAAAACAATTTTAGCACATTTACTCATGAAGACCTAATCTGGACTTCTCTGGTTTGAGATTTTAAAATTGAGCCAAAATGTGATGTGCAGTCATTTGCATTCTAACTGAGGTGAGAGAGTTGCTGAAATCACCTGTGATCTGTTGCTTCCTTAACTTCAACTTAAAAGATATTTTGAAAACTACTTGGGTTATTTCTAGGTGTTGCAGGAAGGAAAATGAGTTCAATTAGTTTTGTTTTCCTTATTCCCTTCATTAAACCTGTCTTGAAAGTTTTAGGCCCACAGTCATGTTGTTTATTGAAGAGAGATGATGCAAATCCTCATAAAATATCTCAGAAAAACATACTGTACACTAGGTTATTAGATTATCTGATGTCCAGTAATTGTTTATGTTCTGAATGTAAATGTCATGTTTCTAGATTTGGAGTTACATGACCATGTACAAAGACAGTATTTGTTTGCAAAAGTGATGCTCAGAGGTATCCAGTGGTTGCAGTTCTCACATCAGATTAATTTGTGAGAGACAATGTTTTAGTCTTAGACTCCACCTCTCTGAATGGTTGTAGAATCTATTTCTAGCTCCCATGGATTAAGGAGGAAAAGCACAGAATGCTGCCAGTCTTGTGTTCTTGCATTACATTTTAGTCCTTCTTGCCTTTTTTTTTTGTCTTCTAATTTGATATTTCTGCTGCACTTCTCATTGTTTGAAAGTCCAAGTCCATACATTCAAATTTCCTCTGAGACATTATCTTCCCCTAAAAGGATGAAGGGCTGATGTGAACTGGGTGGGATTTGGTCCTTACAGTTGCAGAGGGTCTAACGCTTCACATACAGTTTTTACTGGGCAAAAACCGATCCCTTTTGATACTACTTTTCTATAAGATTATAACATTTTAAGCAAATTGTCAGTCTGGACAGTCAGTTTGCAGCACTGTTTTGTAAATCACTCATTAGCATTAGCAAATTTTATTTTAAAAGTATATATTAGGTCTCAGCGAGTTGTTTAATAGTTTATAAATGTAGAAGAGCCCCTATTAATTTCTCCTGCTGCATATGGTAAGGTACAGAGACCCTCACTTCTCTGTAGAGCTTGTTTAGTATTTTTTTACAATAACTTGTTATTTTTTGGTGACACCTAGGAACCCTAGTTGAGGCTGAAGTCTGATTTTGCCAAAAACCGTGTAAAGTAAGAGCTGGTTCCTCTCATCAGTTGATTCCAGTCTTTAAAAGAGAAGCCTTAGATACCTGTATCTGTTCCCACGGCAGTAGGTGTTTGTGTTCTGTTGAGTGAAGGGATATCTTGAATATAGAAGAGTGGCAGGTATGTATTTGTGCAGATTGAGCTGTCTCATGGGGTAAACTGGACCAGGATTTTGTGGACTGTGTACCTTCTTACAGTTCTGCACATATTTATATCCCACTTCTGCCAATGCACTCCTGGCCCTCAGTAAATTTTTCTCTGTGCTTGGAAGACCCTTTGACTCTGAAGAATGATGTTTTTTCCTCAGTAACTTTTTAGTAACAGTGAGTAGTTGCTAACACTCTGCCACTATTTATCTTGTGAAAAATACTCCCGAGTTGGTTACTTTGTTGGTTGGAGCTCCGTTGAGTGGGTGCCTAGTGGTGTTACAAAATCTGCTCACTTACGTAAGGGCTGTGGTGTGCAATGCCCTCTTCGTGCTTGTGCTGCAGCTGTCGGGATTTATTATTGCTCCTGGTGTGGGGATGTTGGCAATGTGCTTCGGAACATGCTGCTGCCTGGAGAGAAAGCAACCAGGCAGATAAGGACTCTCCTGCTTGAGAACCATCTGTGGAAAGCTGCAAGAGACTCAGGTAACATGGATGGAAACGTGGTGGATGCTTGTGGTAATTCACTTGGCTGTGTCTTTTGCTCTAATTTGCTTTGTAGTGTTGCTTTAAACAGAATAACTGAGCTGTTCTGCAGTGTTTATTTGCTTGTTATTCAGCATTCCTGAGACTCAGGTTGCCTGGCTGTTCAACGTACCTCAAAGGATATTTTTAGAGTGGTGTAAAAAGTGTAGGGGACCACAAAATACAAAGGCTTTCCCTTGTAGGGTGATTTTACAGTGCAGTGTAGCTTGTCCTTCAGAATGCAAAGTGGCTGATTATTAATCTTTTATTTTTTTCTTCTAATGGCAAGAAAATTTGTCTGCTTTTATAATTCCGAGGTAAATGACAAGCTGATGGATGTGTGTAGCATTTTCTGCTTAATATCCCATTAGTTTCTAATGCTACTTGTTCTGAAGATGCACACAAAGGCACACAAAGGTCAAGCCACCTCAGAATCCTATCGAATCTCTTTTCTGTTCACCCCTAATGATATTGCTATTGCTGTGGTCATAGGTAGAAATAAATATAATAGCAATATTTTTGTTCTATGTGTTAGGGTGATATGTAGAAAGCCCTTAAGTTGTTTTTCACCTTCAAACAGGTTTATGTCTTCTAGTATTGTAGTAGTAAAGTTAAACTTTAAACCTGTGTGTCTTTTGTAGGGTGAAGACAAGATTGCATGGTGCATCTTCTCTAACAGGAAAGGGCTGTTCTATACTGTCCTTTTTCACCTGAAGTTTTAAGAAGGAAATCTGCCACAGACTGCACTGTGAGGAAGATTTCTTGATATTCAGCATGTATTTTTACTTTGATTGCCCTTTTTTCTCCTTCCTCCTTCCTTTCTTCTTCCTCCCTTTTTTTTCCATTTTTTTCTCTTTTTGATTATGTAGAGATGCTCCTTCACCCATTGCCTTGTTTAATTGCATCCTTATAGCGTGTTTAGACATATATAGATTATTAACTGTATGCTGCTTGTAACTCTTCCTGCAAAAACCAGTCAAATTTCCACATAATTTTTAAAGCTCTTGCACTGGTATCAAAGCACTGATGGTTTGGGTTTTTTTTTCATGTGAACTCAGTGTTCTTTCTGATTGCAAAAATACCAGGAATTGGAGACTGCTACTTGTCTGTCTGCTTTTCTGCAGACAGATGAAAATTGTATTTTCCTCTGTCATACTTTTCTTGTTCCTTGTCTTCTCTGGAGTCTGCATGTTCTGTGACTGTTTATATATAGACACATATGCTTTCTGTTCTGCATGTTAGCTACAGATCCTGCTTCCTACTTATTCTCAGGTGCAACTTTTACTAATAGGTTTTTTCCTTCCCTTCCAAGCAAACTAATTCAAACTAGATTAGATCCTGTTGGTACAATTTTTCTTCCCTTTCAGTCATTTGTTGCTATCTTTCCTTTCAAACCTTTATAAGCCAACCAACCCTGATTTTAATTGAGTCTAATTAAAAAAATAAATCATGAAATAGTTTTAA